AATCCCTAACGACCTTAATTTTATAATTATTTAAAACTTGAATAATAATAGTTTGCAATAGTACTTGTGAGAAAATATTACTTATACTGAATTATTATCTTGACTTTTAGTATTATCAGTACTAGTTAAATATTTTCTTTGAACTAAGTCAGAACACATGATTGGATAATGTTTTCGTGAACATATTAAACATTTCATAAACAATTTACACGTTCGGCTGTTGTGATTTGGTTTTAAGAATGAAAAACAGCCGCTTTTCGAAGAAATTTTTCATTTTCGCTTTTCCAAAGAAAGCTTTTGGGCTTTTAAGTAATCCTGACTATTGTGAGTATTACCACAAAATATACAAATTGGAATTTTCTTACCAAATTTGATATCTTTTGAGTTAGTATAATAAAGTGCGGCAGCAGTGTAGATTTCTGGATTACCTTGTGGAAGTTACAATTTTCTTGGCTGATTTTCCTTGACTTTATTTCCCATCGAAGAATGATCTTCATGCTAGAATTGAATTTGTGCCCTATTAATTATCTGTTCGACTTTAACTTCTCCTTTTATAAAATCTAATAATATAGATGAATTATTATTATCATTATTACAAAAATTTATATTTATGTCGCCCTGTAAAGATGTGACATTTTGTAGTTTATTGAACTTGCGTTGTCGCTCCCAAATAATTAGCAAGTCTTCTGGTAAGGCTGATTCTACTAGCGGTAAAAATATAGCTGCCTATTTGTCACATGTGACCCTAAGTGATTCTGAAGCATTTACTTGAGTTACCAATTTATTGTAGTGAGTAGCTAGATTCGTACCCAATCAATTTGTTTGACTACATTTAGCAATTCCCTGACGTATACCTCAACAAGCATATCATCTTTAGCAAATCTGGTCTTTAACTGTTCAATAACCTTAACATAAGGTGGGAAACTTTCTACTAATGCCCTTGGAGGAGATTTTTCTTCAGTAGCTTGTATCAAATACAAAAGCTTGTTTTTACGTCGATTTCGGGATCTTCGTGAATTTTTCTAAATTGTCCCCAAAAACCTAGTCATTGCTTAATACCTCCATTACACTTTGGTACACTAGTTTTGGTAACTTCTACTTGTGGAATTTTTTGTGTCTTTTGATACTTATTTTTGTTGACCATCATCATTCGTTATTCTAAATTCAAAGGTGGTTTTGTAATCGATTTATTGATTTCTATATTGTTGGACTTCTTCAAATTCTTTTTTTATGGAATCGATAGTGACCGTTGAGGAAAGAAGTAATTCATTAATCTTCTCATCGGTCGAAAAAAGTATTTTACTGAACAGTGAACATATATTTTTCTTGTTCACGACTTCTTGTTTGAGATACTCCTTTATCTGCTTTGCATTTTCCGTGAACAATTCTCTTAACATTTTTCCTTGTAGCTTTTAGTTCTCCATCTTTAAAGTCCTGCAATGGTCGCCAAAATGTTGATGAGGAATAAAGATGGGAACGTAATTAAAGATAAATCGCTAATTTAATAGTATATTACGACATGACTTTTTATATAAATTAAAAATAAATTTATATAATAAATAACTCTATATCCTACAGGAAGTGCCCCTTGGTACTTTTGAAATAATAACTTTCATAGAAATCTGCACATGCATATTGTTAAACAAATCAGTGCCATGAGTTATGAACTACGACTTCATCCTCATACCAATGTCGAGGCAATATAGCAGGATTAGTGAAAGGACTCAAGAAGACGAAGCATTTTGAGTTGTTACGTGTTAGAGTATATGTTAGCTAGAGTACAAAGTGTAATAGAAATCTAAGGATACTGCTGAGTTAGTTAGTTAGTTAGTTAGTTAGTTAGTTAAAAGTAGTATTTTAAGTTAGTTGTGAACTGCTGATTGTTCTTATTGCATATTGCAATGTTGTTACAATGTTAGGGACAAGAGGACAAGTAGCAAATTTGGCAAATACAGGTTGACCAGGATTTTTTATTTTATCCTTTGAATTAGGTATTCAATACATTAATATTTTTTGTAAATAGAAGTAATGGTGTGATGAAGTCTAAAGAGAGACATATTCTATACAAATTATTTGAGTTTTTTTAATGCCACCACTAAGGGTCACTTTATTAAAACGCACTTGCCAATAACTCAATAAAAAGTTTGAAACAGCAACAACCTAATTGTTCGCACAAAGACGAAGTTTAAAGAGAATACAGGCAGTCCACTGGAGTTGCACAGTATATTTTTTTACAATAAGAAAATGTAGAAAATTTAAACGATGAATTTAGAGGTTATTGAGATAAAATTACTATACATCTTATTTTGGAGTTAATTATTATAAGTTAACATTTAGGTATAATAATTAAATTGATATTAAATTATTTAATTGTCGATAACGTGAACTTTAACATTGCTCCTCGTAGCATTTTAGTAAAATTCCCAGTCTTTTATTTAGTTAATAATTCCCCATAATCCAAAAGCTAGTTCTATAACTTATTTGTAATAGCTTTGAAGGACCAAAGTCATTAAAAATTAATTGAATTAAGGGTTAACAGCAAACACCATCCGATCCATCACAATCATTTCCCGATTAATTAAAAAATCATCAGCGAACTCATTAGTTTCTCTCTCCGATTTTAGGTCCGAAGTGGAAGCAAATCTTAATAAATCACCAGGCGTCTGAGTTTTCGTCTCGGACTCAACAACAAAACAATATCTTGCCACTTGAATTACACCAAAGATCATTTAATTCATCCCCTTTCAGTTTCTTTTGGCCTATACGCAGTCTTCTTCAAAGATTTTACTTTATTTGGGTCGGAAGTTGGTGTATTAGCTAAGTGTCACTTATTTATAAACATAATATTGTTAAGTTTACCAAAATTATGTTAAATAGAAAGTGAATGGATATTTATGTGGTAGATGTATAAAAGTATTATTCTATGGGATAGAAACATTGATTTGTAGAAAAATAAATCCTCTAGAATTTGTTAAAAAAAAATTTTTGTGGCTGAATTATTCAGGACTAAAAAGGCCTCAACGATTCTGTATTACTACCCCAATTCACGATCCTACCTACTCTATAGATTCATCAATTTCTAAAAAAAAACACTAAAACGATTTTTACATGGTTTTCAAACCCTTTCACGCAGATTTGTTCGAACAAAAACCGATCTCTCGCAGTTGTCAATTACAAAAACAAGCATCGATAAAGAGATAAAAATCGCTATGGAACAATTTTCCTGCCGGGTAGACAACCACCATCACACAACAAGGACACGTCCGACACACAAAAAACTGCATGCTTCGATGACCAAGAGATTAATGAGATAATCCGTGTGGGGGTATGGATGCAGTGGCGGCTGATTTTCAGAGATAGAGGACAAATTTGGTAGGGTTCGATTACAATTAGAAGAACACATCTACAGAGATCTGAACTGTTGTGTTTCTGTAACCCACGATGAATTTCTTTACCTGATCTTTTACCTCCTTTATATATAATTTATTATCACATTGAACCTTGTAAGTGTTTAATAATTTCTCCTAACATTTTTTTTATACAAATTTCGTTTCCATCAAATAAAAATTATTTCAGCGAATATGTTGAACTGATCGATTTCGTTTCTATACCTTTTCATTTTAATAATCAGACATTAAATTGGGTCAATTAGAGTTTCGCAGGAGATCGCTCATTGGAAATGCTTTTCTCTAATGATCTCATTTATTAAACTAAGTAGTTTTCAAACAAACTAGGCTGTTATAATTTGGTCGGATATACATCGACTTGAACCGGAATAACGGACGAAGAAATAATTGATTGTGGGCAAATCTCCGATTTTTACAAATTAGTTTTAGCTATACATAATGGTTTACAAGTCAATCAATTATATTTTTTTAATGAGCGATTTGATTTTTATATTTTTTTGTACCTTTCATTATGACGTAAAGTAGCCTTGTGATGATTATATCCTTAGAAACATGTTCTTTCTAAAATTTTAATAAAAATTTAAAAAAATAGCTAAGTTTATTGCTATTTTTTCATATTGTTCTTGGTTATTAAAATCAAAATTAATATAACTAGCAGCACGGTAAGTCAACAAAATTGACTATTTGTCATCAATTTATTGGACTTCTGTACTAAGAAGTATGATTATACCATTTTCATATGTAAATTAACAAGTTGCTGTTGCTTCAAAAATTAATTTATATAAAAATCAAGAGAAAACAGATATGCCAGGATAATCGTACATTGTTATGAAGTTACACACTACTGATGTAACTGATACCGTAAGAGGAGCAATTAGAACTGTATTTTATGATATAAAAGCAGGAGTACAGTACGTTACAATTAAAATACTTAATGCATGAATAATTGAAAAACAAAGATATATACAATGCATCTGTATAGAAAATATAAAATATTAGGTCACTCCTTTACAAAAAATTCTTCTTTATACCATTTTTAAAAAAAAAATTATATAGTTATAAAGTTTTATCACAAAATTAGTTTAAACAAAAATTGTAAAGCAAATAATCATCTATTAAAAATGTTTAAGATTTTTTTTCTAAGAGCCACCGTTTCATGAGATATAACGTTTCAAAAAGTTGTAATCGTCGTAATATGCACACGTTTCCACGCCACCTTTGAGGTAGTGTACTTAGCGCGTTTTTATTAACGTGGTTTTCCCGGTAGGCCTATTCCACGGATCTGTTGTGACTCTTTATAATTTGAAATTATTGAATAATAAAAGATATTGGCAAGGGTTGAAAATGATAAAAGCAGTGTAAATAAAAAAAATAGGGAAATTTATTCGTCGGAATCATAATTCTCAAATGTTTCTGCTTCCTCTTCTACTTGTTCTTCTTCTCCTCGTTCTTCTTCTTTATCCTGGTGCATGTAAACTGGCTGAATAGTGATACATCTCAGGTCTCCTCGTTGGTATCAAACGAGTCCTCCAATATCTTCGCGGAAGATTGCTGCAGCAGCTTCTAAGATTCTGAGTCGTTCTTCTTTTTTATTCAATTTTTCTTTTCATACCAAGCTTGATTCAAAATATCATGATGATTGTCTACTAAGCATATGAATGTTGATGTTCCCGATTTTTCAGTGATAATAATTTTATTACCATACCTTAGCTTCAATCGTACCTTTAGCGTCCGGTTATCTACAGTTGTAGTTTTGCAAACATTTCTTAATTCGTTCATAGTAAACTGACGGTAATCGCTATTTTCGATGTAAGTGAATTTTTCCTTCATTGCCAGATTCGTAGTTTCATCTTGAGGACGACCGACTTTAACCCCAGTGTGCGGTTTCAAGAAGGAAATAAAGCAATCAGCCTCAGCAGCAATTAAATCGTTTTCGAATTCGAGTCGAGCAAGAACAGCATTTGCCATAGCATCAGAACGAGTCGTAGCTGTTTCCAGAATCGAATCTTTAAATGTAAGTGTACTTGTTTAATTTTACGGCGAGAATCCAAGGATTTTCTTTTCTCATACTCTTCATTCAATTCCTGACTGCAAAATAAGCATTGTTTTATTAAACAATAAGCTAATTCCCTTACACGTGCTCTAGTACGAGGAGGACCTACAATAGATGTACTGGCTTCTTGGACTTCATGTTGTCTTTTAATAGCTGCTATAGAACACTTTCGAGTATAATTTTTACGACACTCCACATGTATGGTCACAGATTTCTGCTCTTTAAGATATTCTGTAAATTCATCAGCTCTTTCAGTACTTGCATTGATTAATGTCTTCATACCATGTTGTACAGTAACAATTTCACCTTCAGTTAAAAGTTTAGAACAAATAAAATAATACTCTGACATTTTTGTTAAATAATTTAAAACAGCACAAAATATGTTAAAAAATATGTTAGAATAAACACATGTTCTCACTCCGGAGTAGCGCTCAATACCAATAGCACAGCTTATACAATACAGCTAAAACACTCTCTTGGCGGCAACGGTTTGCGTCGATTTCGTCGCGCATCGCTTAAGCTCCGCCTTCGGAGGGAAAAGACGGTTTTGGCGTTCAGAAGCGTACTTAGGTAAGGTGTTGAGTCGTGCGTATAATTTCGTTAATTGTATAATTTCGTGGAGCCTATAATTTCGTTGATTTTGTTTGAGTTAAAGGTACTGTTATTATTTTGGTGACTCTTTAGCTGTGAGTAGAATGAGTGAAAAAAAAAGAAATCATTCTATTTGTGCAGTCAAAAGCTGTTTTAATAAGGGTTATACCTGCAAGAAAACATTTTTTAGTTTTCCCAAGGACCCAAACCAATAAGTACCACATTATAAGAAATTTTCATTGTTAAAAATATAATTTATACAGGGTGTCCCATTAGTGCGTTATTGTTCATTATTTTGTTATAGACACGCAAAAAAGTTTTAAATAAAAGTTATATGGATTTGAAAAATACCTACATATTTTAAAAAGTTCTTTGGATATACAGGGTGTCACGTTTTTGTCTGGCAAATTAAAATGTATGTTTTTTAAATGGAACACATTGTATTTTATTTTATGATGAAATTATTAACACCCTAAATTATTGTAAAGACGAGTTGCTACAGAAAATTTTTATCAGGTATGTGTGTGGTTACCTTTTAATAAAAGCCTTGAGGATCCACTACTGTGATACCTGTCTTATATATAACAAAGAACACGTTGAATTAGATGATTTTTCTTTTTATTGATTTTTAAAGGCATTTGATAACGCCAATTCAGAGATACATTTGGAAATCTGCAACTGTCAAATGATGAATTTGTAGAACTAATATTCAATATTGAAAAGATATTTCAAAATAATTTTGAAGAATTGGCTATAAAAAATAACATTTGTACCACACTTTTAGAATTAATTAACCCAATACCCTTAAGTCATCCATGCTAACGTTTTTCAAAAGAATATAACCTATTTTAATGTATGTTTAATCTCAATAACTAAAAAATATACTGACAATTAGTTTGACAGAATTGCCATTTATTTAAAATTTAAAAAATAATAGCAGTCGGTTGATCAAAATAGGAACGGTGATTGACGAATTTATTTTTTTTTGCAGTGTTCTTACTACCTAGAATGAATATGAAATATATTCGTTCAATTAAAGGCAATGTACTTTTTCGTTTTGTAATTTGTGCATGGATATTAGCCAATCTACGCACATACTACAAAACGAAAAAGTACATTAAAATTTTTGTGTAGACTCGATGAATAATAGCATTTTTGTTTTTATTGTGTCCACATTTAAAAAAAAATTTTTAATCAAACTACATGATACTAATTTAATTACGAGTATTAAAACTAAAGTCCTGAAAGTTTCGGTGAAGATGAGGATAGAGCATCTGCCTTCCACGCTAAAAGCCCGGGATCGAATCTAGGCCGAGGACTAATTATTTTTTCATGTTTATTTTATTTTATAAATTAGCCAACTTCGTAAATTATTTTAAAATTAGTTATATTGTCTAAATAACCTAAAATCATTTTTTAAATTTGTAGATTTTCGTTAGTGGGTCGTAGAAAAAATATACTGACCATATCGAGTGGATTGTTCATATCACAATCAGACGATTGAGTACTCCGCCTACGACGTCGTGCTCAAACTTCGTCTTTGTGTGATATGGCAATCATATCCAGATCCACCCTTGTTGAACAAACTACTATTTATTTGTTTTCTTGGTTTAAGTTTTACATCAGAAATAGGAACTAAATTAATTTACTTTTCAAGTTTTCTTGTAAAAATCGATATTACTTTCTCCAAGTACAAATTTAGTACCTACCTAAAATAAGTAATAATTATGTAATTTCGTGTAATATTGTAATTCAAATTTCACATTACTATAAAGGTTCAAAATTCCCTACTTCGGTATGGTCAGATAAAAATTGAATATATTATATTAATAAAAACTGTCAAAGTATTACTTCTACAAATCTGTATTTCAGTTAATAAGAATACATCTAAATATAACCAATATTGTTAAAATAAAAGCACAAATTCTTTATAATTCCTAAATACCATAGAGTTCCCAGACCTCAGTCGAAGCATTCGTTTATTTAGGTATAAACCCTTTGCGCGAAGAGTAACATTGCCAGACACACGGGGTACTACTTGATTTGCATCCACGAGCGTGACAAAATTATTTAACAATTGAAGCCCTTGGTGTAAAAAGGATCCAAGCCACAAATTGTCGTGAAGTGACTGTTTTAGCTCAAAACATTTGTTAACGAGGATTTTACTAGCCACATACAAATTATTCAACCTCTAATTCGAAAGATGTGCTATTTTTCGTAATATTTATATTTAAATAATTTTTTAATTATATTTGACAAATTTAAAACAAATTAAAAATTTAATTTCCCAAAACTTACTTAATATGGAATGTAACCAACCTTATTACGCCAAGGTTTTCAATTTTTTCAATAATAAAAAAATATTTTAATCCGGGCTCGACTTTTCCCTCGAATCTAACAGAGATAGCACCATTCCGTCTTGCTTGGTTCTCGACCGCCAGATCAAAGACGCCGACACGGAGTTGTGGAGCTGTATTGTATAAGCTGTGCCAATAGTAATGCATGTATTGGGTATTCCAACATAAAGCAGGTATAAGACGCTTGCCACGCAGACAAATGAATAGGAGACAGATGTTGCTCAAGGTTACAGTGGCGTATAAAATGAGGGACTGGGTTTCTTTTTACCTGAAATTCTCATATTTATAATATTTTATATATGTATAATTTTCACTGACCAATAGAATAATATTTTTACTTGTATTACAGCTTCAGTGATGTATATACGTGGTGTACTTATACATATTACGACGATTACAACTTTTCTAACTTTTTAAATCGTTATATCCCAGAAACAATGGCTTTTAGGAAAAAAATCTTAAAAATTTTTTATAGATAATTATCTGCTCTACAATTTTTGTCACAACTAATTTTGTGATAAAACTTACCGTTTTGCTGGAAATCGCGAAAAACCCGTTTTTGTGACTTTTGACCCCAAGTAAATTTTTTTCCAGGTGCCGGATTGATGAAGACTTTTTAGGTTTCATTTATAATGGTGTTTTGAACAATACTACCAATTTTCTGCTGGGTGGGAATTTTTGTACCCTCACTCCTATTTTTTGATCTAATTTGACCGGACTATAGGTAATTTTAAAGTTTTAATGTTTCGCGTTTGTTACTTGCACTTGATAGGGGGTAATCAACGTAGAAATAATGAATTTATTGATATCACTTGCACCATACTGTATATTGGAATTCCATATTAATTATTCTACATTAATGCGTGACGGTATCTCTTATTCTATATCTCTTCGATCTTAATCTGGACATAGTCCAGCAGCGATGTGCCCCCGAAGCCAGTCATGCAATACCCTAATTTATTATTTTTCCTCCGTTTTCCTCATTGTTTTACACTATTCTGCCGTGAGGTGTTTGTCGGCGGTATTCTAAAAAGTATTTTTGGATAATTGCTGAGAAGCTTCCGAAAAACACGGCTAATTTATGAACTGAAAATAGCGATTAATCTTCCCTCGGGTTGATTTAGGGAATGATTGCTGGTTAGAGGTTGAAATGTTGGACAATTGTTATATTTGTTATTCTTTTTAAACATAGAATAGTGGGTCTATTGAATAAAAAGAAGTATTGGCTTCTACTTCCTCTTATTTAAGTATTTTCTCAGTATAAATTGAATAAAAGGTCAGTGAGTACTTCATGTAAAAGAGGTTACTTATGGCCATAAGTAAACTCTTATGGTTTCAAGTAGTTACTTAAAACATAAGGATTTACTTATATTTTTCCAGTACTGGCTTATTTTTATTTGAATAAAAATAAGATCTGTCTTAAATTAGTCAGTTATAACTTGATGATTTTTAAGGTAGCTATAAAGCATGCTTTTTTCTCGATGGTAGTTGTTAGTATACTTTGTTAAACATGGTGGACTTCATAAATGTTCGTACCAAGAAGAATTATAGAAAGAGAAGCATCAGCCCAAGCAAATCTAAGCTCTTGTTCCGTTTTGAAAGTGAAAGTATAGACTTTTCAACAGTAGTATTTGTCCCAGAAATTTTGATAAATTCGTCTTTGAGATTTCATGCCTTTTCTTTAGCTTGAACTATAGTAGGAATCATTGATTTATTCAAAAGAACCTTATACTTTTTTAGCAATTTGACAAACATAAGTCTGTAACCGCCAATTTTTACCGTCAATTAATTCTTCCTCATTCGAAGACATGATTGTGACGAATAGACCTATACAACGCTTAAACTTGAAAACAAATGCTTACTTGCGGTTGCACACAATCCTATCATGACTTGATTAGTATGAATTTTTGTTTACAGGGCTGCGTTTGCGTTCCCATGTATTTCATTCGCCATACGAAACAAAAATAGTAAATACTTATAAATATAAGTACCTACTTGTTTTACTTACAAGTAATTACTCAAAATTCAAAATATTTTTCTGGTATTTACTTTCGAGAGAGTTCTAGTTTTTATTCAAATAAAAATAAGTAATAGCTTCTACTTAGAATTTTCAGCTTTTTCTTATAAGTTATGACTTGCAAGGTAATACTTTTCTTTATTCAATAGACCCAGTGACGGGATTTTATATGATGAAAATGAGAAAAAGCTTCACATAAAATTATCTTTTTGATGATGTGTCATACTTGTTAATTTTCATGGTTAGAGAAACGTAAGGTAACAAATGACGTATGATAGTTTAGGATGTGATAGGAAGGTGTCACTCTTGAGTTTTCATCCAAAAAAATGTTCTTAGATACAGCGGCTAACAGTTCTCAATCAGACTGTACATAACCCCATCAAA